ATATATACATACATACATACATTTATATATATATATATATGTACATATGCATATATATATGTGTGTGTGTGTGTATATATATATATATATATATACTCCCTCCGTTCCAATTTATGTGAACCTCTCTGACTGGACACGAAGTTTAGGAAAAAATGAAGACTTTTGGAATTTGTGGTCCTAAACAAGTCTAAAAGGGGTCAGAGCATTTGTGTGGTTATAAAAGCTTGTCATTAAGGGTAGAATTGTAAGTTTAAGCTAAATTGTTTCCAAATTTAAAAAGGGATCATTCTTTTTGGAACGGACCAAAAAGGAAATAGGTTCACATAAACTGGAACGGAGGGAGTATATGATAGTAGTAGTAGTAGTAACATAATAATAGAAATTTTCTACCAAGTCTAAAACCTATTCCCAACTAGTAATAATTATAGATGAAGACCACACAGCTAATAAGGCACTAGACAATTTAGCAAAAGCAACAGATTTATACCCTGAGAGCAATATTGGCATTGTTAAGGCAGACTATTTTCCCTCGTGAACTTCTACCATTGGTTATAACATGCCCAACTAAACCATTTACAAAACCTTTCCCACTGTAATGCGCAGCAATGCCTCTCTCAGCTATCAGGTCCATCTCTTCAGTTCTTATCTGCCAAATATTACGCAAGTATAATCAAGCTGCTAGAAGATAAGCAGAACCAAATAAATGCTACCTTGTCAATAGACCATGAGACAAATTCCAAAAATCAGAAAGTAAAATGTCAAAGACATTCAATAGGATTATGTTTATTTTTTATTTTTTAAAAAAGACACTTCTAATAGGATATATATATTCCCCACTCAAAGCTGGACAAAATATTAAAGTAATAGGCTAAAAAGTTATTCTGATACAGGAAACATCAAAGAAAATTTTAAGATTTGGAAAGTTTAATGTATTTGAATTCTTGAAAATTTGTGTGGAAATAGAATGGTGTCAAACATTCTTGGATGTTCCAACATGAAAGTGTGTCATAAATATTGGTATAGAAGGAGTAACTGATATCATTGTTGTTCATAAGTTTTGGGAGGTGCCATGAATGTACCTGAACTTCCAAACGAAACATGCTCTCATAAAGAAATGGGATCACTGTTGTATGAAGACTTTGATAGCCATTAGGCTTTGGAGTGGCGACGTAGTCTTTCATCTGTTGCAAAATGTTACAAATAGAGCGATCAAAGTCCATTAGCATATCACAAGAATAAGGGATGCAGATATATTATGCAATACTTACAGCCCGCGGGATAGGTGTCCAAATTCCATGTACAAGTCCAAGCACATGATAGCATATCTACAGAGGAAAAATATGTTAGAGGCATCTCTATACATTATACAGAAAGAGATGCAAGTTTAGGTATTGATTCAAATATGAATTTGATGCATCGTGCAGCAATCTTTCTACTTAATGTCCAAAGTAATATAGAAACTTAGGCACCAATCTTTTTTTTATAAGGTAGGTTAAACATTCCTCATTGACGTCACCGTCGAATGAGCCTGACCAAAAAGTATATGATGTATAAGACATTAATGACCAATCTATATGATGTATAAGACATTACTAACTGGTCTTATTTTAAAGCAAAAATTAATGATCACAAAACATCTTCTGAACGCAGTATTCCAGTAACAAAATAATACACCACCATTAGCCACTTTTATCATAACATTGGGAATACACAAGTAGTGTGCCCACTTGTTCACTTCCTGATGTTCTGGTCAAAGGTTTCCAAATTATAACCCCCTTGAACTTGAACAATATATGTTATAAACAGCTAAAATTGAGGTAAAACCCAACAAAGTATTCAACTTCAAAAGGAAGTGGTATCTCCATCTTCATAACATGTTACCTGATGTGCACTGCAAAGGGGCCTAACTCCAACACAAGGCTTTGGTTTTATAATAATTCGAAGCTGGCAATCCAAGAATATAAAGTTAATATATAACCTTACACAAAACAGAGCATCTTCTATCAAATCAATCAAGCTTACAACAAAAGAGGACCTGCGCAATTTGGTTCACTTCGTTTATCGAGTTCTTAGATTTCAGCACTGCTTTGTAGATGCTGCAGATAAGAATCACAAAAGCTGGCTGAGGAAACGTTCACCATCGCAACCATAAAATATGTATGTATAGGTTACCAAAAGGGGCACATTTCAGGTGTGAATTAAAAAATAAAATTTAAAGATCAGAAGAACCGAGAACTTCCATTGTAGCTTTGCTTATGATAGAAACTCCAAACACGAAAACAATGCAACAAATTAGACAAGATCACTACGGCCTGAAAATAGAGCAGAAAATTAACATACTTTTTCCCTCCAGGTGTGGAAAGAAATTCCCTAGATCCCAAAAAATGTACAAGCAATAGGCAGAACGACAATAAGAAGAGGTTCCACACTTCGGGGCAGAAAGAGCAACGTGCTGGTAAAATGGTTATGAGTCATTAATCAGAAATTTATCGGCTATGGTAGAGCAACTTTTTTTGATTAGGCAGATGGTAGAGCAACTAATTAGGTAGGCATCAAGCTAAAGTAGAATTTGTATTTCCTTTGAGGCTGTGATAACCCGCCACTAAAAAATTACTATCAAACAAAGAGAATCTTGAAAGGAAAAAAACTGTATGAATGCCAGGACAGGCAATAAACAACAAAAATAAATATGAACTTAGGACCAGGAAATAGGCATATGTGCACCTGTAAGGTTCCGTGCATATTGAATGAATTTCAGTCTTCACCGTCACGAGATCTAAGAATTGGTCTTCCTCTATTTTCTTCATCAATATTCTTTTTGCCTAAGGGAAGAAAAGACGCATTTAGAAAAAGGTGAACTGATAACTATGTACGGCTTTCAATAAACACCACAGTGATAACAGATAATGTTCTCTGCTTATAAGTAACAGTTGCATGTCGCAGCATGGATGGTTGGATGACAGAGGTCTTCTGAGCATTATAAGTAATTAGGTTTTAAAAGGGTGAGGAATAGATACCTCTTTGAGTTCTTTTTCATGTTCTTTATAAAGTTCTGCAATTCTTCGCTGCACCCTGGCATAGTCTTGAGCATTTGTATACATAAATGCTAAGTTTTCAAGTTCTGACTGCATGATGATAAGTCAAATATTCATGAAACTAAGCAGATATAAAACCATAATTTAGAGAAAAGAAACTGTACATAATGAAACAAGTGGCAGTAAACCACAACACTTCAAAGCCTCTTA